CAATGAGCTCATGGTTTTATAATTGAATGACATTGAAAAGGAAATTCTGATACATTGAGTAATTAAGAAATAGCCCACATGAAAATAATTTCATTTGCGTATAAGATTGATACATTTATATTGTCATGGTGTATTTGTATCAGCTAAATTCATCTGAATCAAATATCAATCACAATCAATTTACACTGAGTTTTAAGACACGGTATGACAACTGAAGCTCTATATTATACGGTGATATATTATTGACAATGAAATTGCAATTATTAAGCGGTTATTAAAATCTGACACTTTGATGGAATAAGTGACTGCAAATGGATCTGTAATACTCTTTTTATTATTATTATTATTATTATTATTATATTCATTTTTTAGACATAATGATGTTGATATCGCAAAGCTTGAGATTCTCATGTCAATTAGCGTAAATGTTGTTTAGGTGGTGTTAAAGTCACCCCGTACTTCATCCAAGTGTCATAACACATATGGTTTCATTGCTGGATGTACACTTTTTGCATTAAATCACTTCAAATTTACAAAAAAAGTTTTAGTCCTACATATCTATAAAGACCAAAAGTTTTTAAGAAGAAATAATATAAAACCATGTAAAAGAGCATACATATTACATTATCCTTAATATTTTTTTTTTTAATTTTATTCAGAAGCCATGTTGTAGTATATAATTATATTTATATATAGAAAAACTGCGTTTCAAAAATATAAGACCATTGAATATCGTATTTCAAAATAAATAGCAGATATGGGCCTATATAATCGTCAAGGCCAAAGAAGACACAGTTGTTCTTTCGTATTAGATTTGCCTTTCCTTCCCAGACATTCATATAAATTTGAATTTCAATCATAATAGCGCCTGCGACTGAGACGTTGTACTAATGTCAGGATCAATTTGTCCCAGGAATATCTGGTTATTTGTCTCAAGCACGAGGGGACATCTCACACAGCTGTTAGGGGCAATTGATTAGACGTCAGTGTCTGAGACCCTTTATCTTTATAATAATAAAATTAAGACGTTTTGTCATATTACATAAGACTAATATCCTATAACATAAAAGTTTCATTGACGACATTCAAAATTCTTTTACAGGTAAAACTGTAAAGTCACCATATGACCTTTTCAATGTTAGTGAGACTTAGGAATTGTTTTTCTATCTCTATTTTAAAACCTAATAAAACAAACGACTTACCATTTATGAATATTCATTTAAATTAAATACAAACCTTACATTCAACACTTAAAAAAAATCCAAGCCGGTGCTTTGAATCTGTCTTTATTGCCTTATTCTGTTTTCTTCCGTCCGCTTGCCCAAGAAAGGAAAATTATAAAATCTAACTTAAATAAAATTCATGTTGTAACTACTGTATATACTTCATGTATTTATGACACAGTCGACTTGCTATGATTATGGTTTACTTTTTAATGTTTTGCTGCTTTGGAAATATTTTCAAACCGTAATTCGGAATATAGAATACAAAAGTGAAACCAGTGCCAGTGGAATAAATGATTTTGCAATCGCATTCAAACCGAGTTTCATTTTTTATTCTATTCTATTGCCTTTCAGAAACATTTATTTGTACACAGGAAAAAATAGATTTGCAGATTTCAAGTCAGTAGCGGAAAGGAAATATTTTATCGTCACTTACTGTGTAATTGAGTCTTCGGTATTTTTCACTGCTATTGAAACAAAGAACAGCTATGCATAATTGAATGGTTTAAGAGTTTAACAAGAAATTTCAATTCCTTTCTTTATGTCTTATACTTTTCTTATAATTCTGAGAACATGTACGTAAGGAACATAAAAACAATACCTATTTCAGTGTAAGAAATTACAACTTCACATTTCGCACAGTCTTAAGGTAAATTAGTGGAAAGTATGCTGTATTTTTTATCTCAGAATAACGAATTTATTTCGTAAGGAATCGACAATGCATGTTTGAAAAAGGTATACTACTCTGTATAAATCACGCAACCTCTATGCTTACGTATCATTTTAGGCGAGATTTAGTTTACGTGACGATTTGAATATCAGGCAATTAGAAATATTGCGTTTCTTTATAATACAGATGCTAATGAAAATGGTTTCGGTAAAACTAGTACTTTTATGTTAGGTTAATCATAAATGCTTGCCACAAATAATAAATCATTAATAAGCTACCGTGATTGATTGACGTAATATAGTACTAGAGCTAATGGAGACATCAATGTATGACGCTTGTTTGTGTTTTTTAATCATAGCAGAAACTTACATGGATTCAGATAAATTTAATGAGAAGAGGGATATTAAACACAAAATTTTTTATAAGAAGACGAACATATTTTAACACACTAAAGCAATAAATAAAGTCTAATCAAACAAATGTGTGCTTATTCAATGTATTATGTATGGATACGGAATATAACGGATACCTACATGTTTAGCGTGAATTTGATAATGGCTTCATACTCAAATCAAAAGTTTGTTCATCAATTATTTGTGATATGGTGATATTATTAATTGCACATCTGACATTTGATGCATGAGTGGCTACAAGCCGGACCGGCATTTGTCTATGGAAATATCCAATCATTCTTGCGTTCATTTCGTGTTATTGTCATCGAGGGCTATGCCAATAAAAAAAACACAGTATGTTTTTGTATGACAACTCCACATACGTAAATTAAGATTATTTACTGATAAAAACACAAATCATAAACTAATTAAATCATCCGGATGAAGACAAAAACATCTGAGGCCTCATTATGAATGCAAAATGAAAATACCAACATCTTTGTGTCATTTTAAACGCTTAATGAAATTTAATTTGGTACTTGATTTATGGCAATATGATCAAAAACTAAAAATCGCGTAAATGTACGTGGAACACAAAAATGAAATGTTATGCATGCATTCCTTTCTAGCTGGTTATATAAATATTTATGGCAAATGAATTACTAGGGACTTTTCAAATACGTACCTCATTTTTGTTATAATAATTAACATTTTATATGTAATAGACACATTTTTAAGCGAAATGTAAGTACCTTTTTAAGTTATATATTACCTCATATCGTTATTATTAAAGACACTTTAAAATATAAAATAGCCCTTCGACTTTATTCTAACCATCGACCTTGTGAGAACATGACGAACAATTTCTATTAAACGTGCTTAATGTATCTGCGCAATATTACTCTTAGTGTATACAATAAAAAGTTTTTAAAGCATGTAAGAACAATAAGCATAAAAACCAACATGTTTTTTATTCTTTATTTTCATATAACTACATTAACAACCAATTGATACCAAAGGCACACAGCGTCAAACGATACATATAACAAATACTTTTGTCCACATATTGAGAACTATTAATAGCTCACCAATATTTTTATTACCATGCAATAAATGAAAAAAAAAGCAAATATAAAAAAGGGTAAGAAGCAACCAAATAAGTGTCAACACTCATTCGAGAATTTTGGTCCTACATATTTATAAACACTAAGGCTTCTGCTTTTAAGAAAGCAAACTAAAAATGAGTTTGCAAAATATTACACATTTTTATAAAAGCGTAAAAGGGCATACAAATATACAATAAAAATAATCTGTTTTCAAAATGATATTTGAAGGCACTTTGTAGAATCTATTCAATTTTAAAGATAGAACTAACCTCTAGGCAGTGATAACAATTATAGTGACCAGAGACCCTCTGATATAAGATTAAACTAACATGCATTCAATGGATAGATATTATGAGTTTTAATGATTTTTAACAGGTTATTTTGCCCTATATAAACTGTGATTTGGAAATATAACGCGGGTCGCAAGGGGAGAGTTACTTTACAAATTACCGTTTATACACGAATATATAAATTATAAGACATCTTTATAACGAATTTATTATACAGAATTATTACTTTGTTTCAAAAAAGAAGGTTTTTTCTTCATGAAATTGTATCAGTCGTGTATAAAGATTATATAAAAGTCACGATTATCCAATGAAAAGCGACGTTACAAACGTGCAGTATTATAATATTAGTTATACAGGTTGCTGACGGGATGTATGGGATAATATTGCATGACTGAGATAAATACAGGCTATGGCGGTAGCATATTGTTATTGACGACGATTCAATAAAAAGGAATATCAGATACGCAACTTAATTAAACTTAATTTCTATTATTCCCAAATTGCAAATTGCAATGAACCATCTTGTCTCACCCCAAAGTATTACAATACAGAAAACTATGAACATGATATATCCCATCAGTTCACTTTGTACCCCAAAGTCCTATGTATTAACCTGAAGAACAAGATCATGGCAATATTTAATTGAGCTAGGTATATGGATTTTACCCAAAAAGTGCAAGTGATCTATGAGGTCATATAAAGATCGAAGTGATGAATTAATTTATTTTATAAAAAAATAAGCAATGGTGGGTTAAAATTACTATCTGATTGTCAAAGAAAATTTTAATAGGTACAGCAAATAATTGTAATACTTGAACAAAATCTTATCAATTAAGAAAATAGTTTAAATTCTTTACATAAACAATTACATGTTCCCTTTCGTTATTTGAAAGGGTATTTTATATTTTTAATTTGAGCAAAATACAGAATACGTTTAAATAGTGACAAACAATTTAATATTCCCACTTCCAATGTGAAAGAATTAATTCTGATATCTGATAAGATGTTTTCCTGAAATTTTTATGATATCTACTCTAAATGAACATTTGTTGTTTAAAGTGAAGTTGGGTCTGCTAATTTAAAGTTTCTCGTATCTGTTTTAAAATCTTTTTAATATAAACCCAAAATAAAAAGTTGGGCCGTACCAAAATATTTTTAATTTTTTTGGGGTCATTAATCCCCAAAAAAATTTAGGGGTTGTAGAAAATTAAAAAAAGCCCGAAATCTTGTAGACACACATGTGTGGTAAAATTTATGCTTTCCTTATAAGTTTTCTACGTCACAAAATTTATTTATTCTTTCACTTCGGGCCCCTTCTCAAGAATTATTTTCAAGGCAATGTCCCGTTTATTGTTTATGTAAAGTCTTATGCGCAGCTTTAGTTTATATGTAATTCCTTAAGTACTTGATAAACATTACTTAACAGTACATTTAAAGTAATAGTGAATGTAAAAAGTACATGAACTGCGAATATTGTTTCCAGCAAAAGTCCTTTAACAGGTCGACAAACTTTGCTGTTTTTTTTATCACAATAGGAAACCAATACCTACTGTCATTGGTATAGCTGCAAATCTAGGTAAAGTTTATTCAAATTGATCAGAAGTGGAAAATGCTTCATACCAGATACAAATGTAATGTAATATTTTGATCCTATTTTAAAGAAAAATACCTTATGAATAATCATTAGATGTCTTTTACAGAGGAAAAAATCTCAAATCTACAAATTACATTTAACTGCTAGACACATTTTAAGGCAACTGAAAATATTGTTAGAACATAAGCTTTCCTACAAAGCATTGTCTTATGTTGTCTAAACAATTAAACCACAGACAATGAAATTACTGAAGCAGAAGCACGGTGGTATCACAAAAATATTCTGAGCCGTTTACATATAAATCTTGAAAGAAAATCTGATAACGTTAAAATAAAAAGTATTAACACACATAAATGTAGGCAAATATGAAGTTCAAAATAACAAATATACATCATGCGCCCCTGCTTTAATAGCTATAGGAATAAATGTCAGTTACTTATATTTGATTAGTAAATAACAGAAATAATATTTAATGTAAAAGCTATTAGATAATGGCAATTATTACAACCAAAATATATTTAAGATAAAATATACATATGTATAAATAAAATTTTTAATTTCTACTTGTAAAAATATTTAGCAATGAAGTTTCTTCTTCACATAGTTTGAAAAAATAATGAATAAAATGCTTTGTAAATCTATATTTCACATTTAGCTGAAAAAAAGAATGAAACTTGGTATTATAAAATATTACGCATTGATTTTCATTTCGCAAATGGCTACATACACGTTTAAATCTTCAATAACAAAATATATCAATATTTACAATTTCAACATATTCAATTTGGTAGTGAGTTAAATTGAGCTTTACACGATTTCATTAAGCTTTTCAGTTTTTATTTCTGTGGCTAGTGTTAACAAAATTTTCATTATGATCTATTTTGTAAGGGGACGTTCAAAACAAAACAATATAATCATTAAAGGTAACTCTCACTTTAAACAATCATGAGCATCAGAATACAAAAGCAATGTAATTTTTTTGTTTTAATTTTTGAAAATTCCAAATTACGTATCGCCAGCCGTAGACTTGTACGAATAATCTTCTTTTTTATGAATAAAGATTCTCACACGACTTAGATAAATTATGTTTCTTGAATATTTTGTTGAGCAAAGATTTACTGGTGGAAGCGCATCCTGTAGATTTGTCGGCATCATTCTTTGAGGCTCTCAGGCGAAGTTGTTTCACAATACCCACAAGCAATTCATCAATGTTAACGTTTAAAACTACCGATGTTTCTACAAACTTGCAATCGTAAGTAGTTGCAACAGCTTTCGCCTCTAAAAGTGAAAAGAAAATAATGATAGTTATATATGATATAATATATGTAAACAAAAAATTTTGTGTTTAAATTCAGATTTTGATACACATATTAAAGTCTCTTCTGAAAACATTTTCCATATTATGAAATGTTGATTTATTTTTGCTATAGGCATTGTATTTACATGTTTAATGCAATAAATTTTTGAACTTAATTGAATATCATATTTTGATTAACGTCCTGATATTATAAAAATGAATTGCGAGTGCTCGGCTTATTTTTCAGATTGTACGTATGTGACTATTCACATTGAAACAATAAACAAATCCTTTTTATTACATTAACATACCAAATTGCGTCGATTTTACTGTCTATTTTACAGTTCATGCCGTTAAGAAGAGATGTTTTCTTGACATTTAGTTGTTTATTTGTTGCTGATAGCGTGTCTAATTAAAACAAAGTATATCCATCTTAACTTACTGAGATTATATTCTAGATTATAGAAGAACAATATTGTTATGCATCAAACATCGAATTTTATCAGCTATTTTATTTCTTTTTTTGTAATTTGTTAACATTTAAAATGACAGAGTCTGATTTTATGTTTCACACATTAGCTTTCATGCATCAAGAGAATGATAAACACAGATATTTCATGTTATGACATCAAATCTATTGAACTTGTGTTTTCCCTGAAAGAATGCTGTAAATATTTGGAAGTTGCACAAACAGACAGTAGCATAGTATATCCTATAGAAATTAAATAGCAAAATATACGTATTGTGTTAAGGAAAAAAGTAAGCTGTTTGTCATGAAACTACGGTATGCTGAAGGATAAACAATGATAAATTTATATTTCTATACTATTCTAGACTATTTTCAACACGCTTGTATTATACAAATCTTCCAAAGCCCTTGAACAAAAAATCCCTACCGATGTTCTTTACGAACAACTCTAAACACATAATTATGTATTATACAAACCTAGCGAGATCCTTTGCGGAAAATTTTAAAGACACTTGTATTATACAAACCTATCGAGGTTCTTTGCGGAATATTTTCAAGACACTTGTATTATACAAACCTAACGAAGTCCTTTGCGGAATATTTTCAAATCACATATTATACAAACCTAACGAGGTCCGTTGAAGAATATTTCCAAGACACTTTATATTATACAAACCTAGCGAGGTCTTTGCGGAATATTTTCAAGACACTTGTATTATACAAACCTAGCGAGGTCTTTGCGGAATATTTTCAAGACACTTTATATTATACAAACCTAGCAAGGTCTTTGCAGAATATTTCCAAATCACATATTATACAAACCTAACGAGGTCCTTTGCAGAATATTTTCAAGACACTTGTATTATACAAACCTAACGAGGTCCTTTGCGGAATATTTTCAAGACACTTTATATCATACAAACCTAGCGAAGTCTTTGCGGAATATTTTCAAGGCACTTGTATTATACAAACCTAACGAGGTCCTTTGCGGAATATTTTCAAGGATTTTTATTATACAAACCTTTACTAGGTCCATTGCGAATATTTTCAAGACACTTGTATTATACAAATCTAAGGAGTTTATTTGTGTAATATTTTGAAGACACTTGCATTATACAAACCTAACGAGGTCCTTTGCGGAATATATTTTAAAGACACTTGTATTATACAAACATAACGAGGTTCTTGCGGAATATTTTCAAGGATTTTGTATTATACAAACCTTAACTAGGCCCAATGCGAATATTTTCAAGACACTTGTATTTTACAAACCTAAAGAGATTATTTGTGGAATATTTTGAAGACAATTGCATTATACAAACCTAACGAGGTCCTTTGCGGAATATTGTCAAGACACTTGTATCATAAAAAAGCTTACCAGGTCCTTTACGGAATATTTTCGACATTTGCGTTATACAAACCTACCGATGTCCCTTGAACACACTTGTATTATACAAACATAAAGAGGTCCTTTGCGGAATATTATCAAGAAGCTTTAGATAATTTACCCTTACCTTCAGTTGTCACGCATTTTGAGCGCACAAGGTCCGATTTATTTCCCACAAAGAAAATGACATCATCTTTGAGCTGTTTCTGCCTGAGATTATAAAGGGAATCAACTGCCCTGTCAAATGATACCCTGTCATCACAAGCATACACAATGAGATAGGCAGCTATATTGTCACTCACATCATCCTAGAATTATTTAAAAAAAAACTGATTTCATGTTAACCTCGATTATGTTTCTTTCATAGTATAGATATATAAATGACAATTATACTAAATATAATGGTATCTTTTATATGACGACCTTCAAAATTAATTAAACTATTAAAATCTGTTTGTACCAGTCCAAGTTATGATTTCTATATAAAATAAATATTGAGTTATCATCATTATATTTATGTAGCGCACGGGTTCGAAAACCATGTCAGGATGTAAAAGTTGTCAATGACATATGCAATGTCAAAGACACCTGCATGGCACTGTCTTTAACGCCACCAAAGAGATATTTTTGGATATTTCAATAAACCAATGTCACTGACAAAATGTTTTTATTTTTACAGAATATTTATAAACATCTCAGAAATGCCATAAACACTATCAGAGACTAAATGTAGAAAACAAAATGATGCAGCTTTGGCATTGGCGATTGCTGGAAAATACCAATGTAGTGCATGCAACTGATGTATGCCGACATAGCCACATTGGTCTTACAAATAACCGTAGCAATCACAACTAAACAAGTTGAGAATAGAATGAAAATTTTCATTTTTTTTTTTTAGAATTTTTTAAATTTTTTGACTGACTACTTTAACCAACATGCTTTATCACTTATGTTTTCCCGAAAGCCATCTACTATTTACTAATGGCTTTAATAAAGATGAACGTATGTTTATAGTGACTCAATCTGCCAAAAATATCATAATTATTGTATTTTTTCCACATTTTGCTTCAATTAAGAGATATTGACAATGAATATACATCTGTACATGTTGATTTAGTAAAGGACAACATTGCAACTCTTGTTTATATAATATTGTATCATAGTTTGAAGACCTTTCTAGTGGAAATGTATGTGGGGGATAAAATAGAGCATATGCGTTTATTAGCTACATTTTTTCCTTGGGGTAATTTATTGTGACGATAAGGAAAAGGATAACGATGGAAAAGTCATATTCAGATGTTACTTATTTTCTTTGGTTTCATATTATGACGACAGGGAACATGTTTTTACTTTTACTTATAATACAAAAGAGAAAGAACATCAAAACACTCAGCAATCTGATTTATACTTGTTCCTTTTTTCTCGGGGGGGGGGGGGGGTAATTTCCTAGATATTCGACAATAATGTTATCAGATCTCTTAAGATAATGCACATACCATTACGTCATGTTCAGTCTCCTCCACAAATACTAGGGCTGTTTCTTCTCCATTCAATAGCACATTCACTGTCTTTTCTGTTTCTCCATCTGAAAACAACAAAGTTGAAAATCATTTTTTTCATTCAAGAGAGTAAACATAAAACAGGTGTAAGTATTGTCTTTTCTGTCTTTTCATCTGAAAATTAAAATTAAAATATCAATATTTTTATCCTTGTTACTTATCTATTAAAAAGCACCTGAAATGTACAAGTACTATATTATCATATGCAATCTTAAAGTTGTTAAAGGTTATTACTCAATAGTCCTTTTGGGTTAACATAATTTAGAAAATAAATCAAGTACTGCAAAATAATGTTCCGCTGCAATCCTCTTTGATGTTTAATATGCGAGGACAGCCCATCACTAGATAAGTATGTAAGTATATTTAATTAATTCTTTAAATACAAAATATACTTTGTAATTTGATATTGTTTAAAAAAATTCAAATACTGTTTATCATGACCGTTTAGCGGAAAGTTTAGAAACCGAATTAATGATTCTATGAGTGTGATGTTTAAGTATGTAATCTCCTTCTTTACATTTTAGACCTTTAAAGGCTGCATCAAATAATGTGATATCTACTCGTATACCCAAACACCGCACAAACTATTGTAAAAAGACTTTTTGTTACAATGGTACAAACATTTCAAATAGAAAACCATTTAATACGTTCTTCTAAATCCCTGCCATCATTTCTAAATAAATAACAACAACAAAAACAACAAAAAATAGTTGTAAACGAAAATTGTATGAATGATATTTGTTAAATTAATTATATTTGTTATAGGATCCATGTATTTTTTTGAGATGGTATATCTTCACGTGTTACATTGTTTAAGAACAGATTTTATTGTCATCATTATTATAAAATGATGATAACGGTTATTAAGTTTTGTGAAATCAGTCGACAGAATATTGATTCAAAAACTGCTAATAAAATATGACATAAATTATACAAAAAACAAAACCAAAACAAGCCCATGACAATCGGACTTTCTTTAATTATGGTAAAATATCAATGTATTGCACTTTGATTATGGTAAAATATTGATTCATTGCACAAACATTTAATCAAACGGCAATTGCAACAAGTTCTTTTTTTACTTTTCATGCTCTCATGTATGACTGCATTATCGTTCATGTATCTTTTAGATAAGAATATATTAATATCGAGGTTTCGATGCTGTTAAAATCAGTTTACTAGTGCGCCCCTTGATTATATTGATTTTACTGTTAATGATGCAGTTTAAACTAGCACGTATGTGTTAACGTAATTATTCCCTGGGTTAATCCCTAATGACGCTTGAAAGGGATAATAAAACATCGGGAGATTTATTGACGCAATTTAATTCAACAGCCAATTAAGGCAAAGAATTAATGATGCATTTCCGCATGATCTTGACTTAAATTGAGAGTGCAAAAATCGTGGTGCTTGGTATTTGGTTTTCAAGTTATTTAACGAAGAAAAGGGAAAAGTTTAAAGAATCGGTGGTGACCAAAATAATTAATGTACCCCTCTGAAAGAATTGTCGTGCTATTTTTTTATTTAACTTTCTGACCGAAATTTTGGAAAAGGGAAAACCAGAAAAAATTTGATTTATGAGGTAAAGTAATTTGAATTATACCCAGAAACAGCTTAAAAATAACAAAAAAATTCATAATATATAAAAATGCACGAAAAAAAACTTATGTAATAATTTAGCTATAAAATTTATACATTAAAACTATAATCCTGTGTTTTGGAAACATCTACAATAATTAACACATTTTCGACTATCTGCATTAAAAAATAATCCAAAACCCGGAATAGGCTCCATTTAAATATAACATTCGTCTGTTGCTCGGGAACAATCCCTTTTTAATTTACCATAAAGTGATTTATGCCCCCCAAAGGGAAATACATGAGTGAGCAGGTAAATGTCAAAAGTTGATACATTTTGCCATAATTTCTTTCAACTATATAACTCATTTCGCATGAACAATAAATAACTGAAGTGGACCAATGAATACCCATTGAAAATTGCCTTTAATGTTCAAAATTTATAAAGGAGTATTGACAGATTTTTTTTTATATTTTACGCAGATTTATATCTTATCCTTGACATTTTCCAATATCAATTTGACAATGAAAAACGAGCATAATGTCAATTTCGATATAAAACATTCATAACATTTTAATACAAATGTATGTTTAATGTATGTTAAAACCACAAATAGCGGTGATTGACTGGCTGTAACCGCCTTTATAAATCTCCAACGCGAAAATGTACAAAATATAAGCCTTTTAATCTCCAGTTGCTCGTGTTGTGTTTTAATAAACTATAATACGATAAACTGCTTTGATCAAGAGTGAAAATTTCTCTGGATATTAAAAAACACACCCTGCTAAAAGCAAAAATATTTCAAAGATAAGATTCTCCTTCTTTTTAAAGGGGTAGAAATTTTAAAAAAGAGTCAAAGTAAGCAAAGAATTTGGGAAACCCATAAACGGGGGCTTACAGCGGAATTTTCTTGCCTGTCAAATAGTGCAAAAAAATCCCAAAAAATCCAGGAGAAATTGCCACCGATCACCCAGATTTTAAAAATTTGCCAACTTTAAGCAAAAAGATAAAAAAACAGATTTGGGGTTTTTCGTTTAGTTTTTGTTTCGGTAAACATGAACAGGACTATTGGTTTTTTATAAAAGAAGTGTTAACGTGCCTAATTAAATTAATTGTTTTAGAACAGGGAAAAATCATTTCGGGTTTTTTTTTTAAAAAAAGGAAATTTTTTAAAATTAAAAATTTTAAAAAATTTTTTTAAAAAATTAAAAAAAAAAACCTTAAAAAGAAAATCCTTTTGAAAAAAAATAACTTTTTTGATGGATTCCTTGCAATATGAAAATAATAATTTGAATCTTCCCTTAAAAAGTATACAAAGTTTACGATTTTTATAACTTGTTTAGATGTCTACATTCATAGAAAATCCCCTCGCGATAGATAAGTCATTTTGGCAAATTGATATGAGGAAAAGCACTAAAATAATTCTTAATTTGTAAAAAGGATCACGCAACAAGTCATCTCAGACGAGGAATTTATCAACATTTCTAACATGGAAATCATTGCTTCCAACTTGAGACGAAACTCATAAATATACTTGATGTATAGAGGATATTGAATAAGTGTAAGTTCAATACTGAATATATTGCACGAGCTGAATAAAATTGCATTATGCAAGCCTCTGGGATGAACGTACACAAATTTAATATTCTATTTATCACATACCAAAAATGAAGGCCGTTTAAAATGACAAAAGAGTCATTTTTCATTGACGCGCCTTAACGCTAACATTTAGCGCTTTTTTACACTATGTTTGTAGAACGCTAATGACGTCACGTCAAAATATATGCACGTCCTTGCAATACCATTTTTACGGAGTTGCAAAATCGGCACAGGTGTGTGATAATGTGAGTATGGTACAGTGTTGACGATAAAATTGTGTAACTTGTCTTGACTGATATATATTCGACGCTTATAATTAGCGTATAGAAAAACACTACAGCCAAACCCACCCCATTTTTTTTGACGGACAAAAACATAAAATGTATTCAAATTTTTGACTTTTAATTTGTAAAGTTAAATTCAAAAAAAATTAAAAATTGGTATTTTTAAATGGCAACATCATTTTATCTTTCGTACTAAATAGTAATATTAGTAAAATGTATTCTAGACTGATGTCATTCCTTGGTACCTTCGTCGCGTTATTACACGTTACATATGACGTAAGTATAAGATGACATCACGCAACGTTTCTATGATACATAATAAATTATATACGATACTTAAAATATATACATATGTCTGTCATGCACAGGTCAAAGTAACATTGAATATTTGGGTACAAGCAATCATAACGTGTTCCTTTTCTACAATTTTAAAATAAAGTACTTGCACGAGTAATTCAGTTTATTTCAGAATTTTTCGCGTATAATTTTTGACGCCCTTCCAATGTTTTAGTGACGAACAATCACATTCAGCTCCGAAATTTAACAAGGCTCCCGATGAAGTAACAAATAACCCTACGTATTCCAGAAACCAATTTAAAACACTTGCAAACATGATGAAATCACAGATAATAACTTAAGAAAAGCATTAAAAGCTGGAGACGAGAAGGTGAATAACTATACGTTTATTGGAAAATCAATGGACATCATTGCGTATTTTAAAGCAAAAGTGTCTTTTTATGCAAAAAATTTGTAACAAAATACGTCAATACCCTTCTTTTGTCTTTCAATGTGCGAACAAAGAAAGGCATCGGTAAATGTGAAATAGACGTATGGAAACAGTGCATACTTTGGCCTGTAATTATAAATCTTAAAACGAAAAAACAAATGTATTTTCTATTTTCTTGAATTTCCTCTAATTTTCTACAAAAAAATACAAAAAATGCAAAAATGATCGTCAATTATGCAATTAATTTGTTTTGGTGATAAATTTTCTCTGTCCGGTTTCCACTGAGGAAAAGCGTAATCCGTTTATTTGTTTTTATTTTGTTTTGTTTTTAAGTCAAACCGGTATTGTAAAGGTACAGTAGGCGACTGTTTGATTTGACTGGTTGAGGAACACACAAGAAGCACATTAGTGTATTAGTTTCGACAGAAATCGCACCTGAGAAATACAAGCAAACTTCATTAAGCTAGGTGAATAGCTTTCTATCACAAAATAATCCAGTGACTAATGGGATATGAATCAACAGAAGTGAGGGGGAAGCTAATTGTAACTGATAAAATCTGAACCCACAGAAATGAGGGACAAGTTAATTGAAGTCAATTAACTTAAACACTAGGCAACGGACGGAGGCCTCTAAGAGTAATCTGTGCCAATAGTTTAAGGTGCTGAATCCAATATTTTTTAATATATTCACATTTAAATGAATTCAAAAACAAGAAAAAAGTTAAAAGTTGATTGATCTACAATGGGCATAATTCCCATATGTTTTTAAAGTATTGTTAAAAATACTCGAAATGTATCGTTTAGGTCTTGTTATAAAATATGTTTTAAAAATAAAAT